GCGTTGAATATTGAATAAGCAAAACGTGTGCACAGAATAATGCATTCAAATAGGATGTTTGAGGGAAACAAATTCAATAAAACAAATATTTTTACTAATGAAATGACACGGAATACAGAATATTCTCTATAGGAAAGTATATTTCTCGACACTAACAGCAAACCTATTGCTACTGTTTTTATGGCTGTAATTACATTCTTAATTAACATTTCCATAACCATTGCGACCATTAATGCCATTAATATCCAGGGAACACAGTATGACATCAATAAAACAACTCTATAGACTATAGACTTGTAGATATATAGTGTACCACATAATGCGAAATATTTATTGTACCAAGATTTTACTGATTAAATTGCAAACCCCTATCGCATGCGAACCCCCCATACATAACCCAGACATGTCAAAGGCTTTTATATTTAAACTCAAAATATTTTGTTTGCGATAATCAATACTCGACACACATTATAAAAAGAGACATTTGAACGCGTTTAACAAAAAAATTCTTTAGAAAATAGAGATTTTAATCTTTTAACTCATATTTAATAACATTTTGTGCCATTCATTAAACACTACAAACACACAGAACCCCACACGACAAGCAATTTTCATTGAATTGTATACATTGTACACACAATATGTGTTCCCATTTTTGCGAGAGATCTATTGACCGCTCAATACCCAGCCTACCAGTGCAATGAATGCCTAATCCCATAGCCCAGCAGTGCACTTGCATTAATCAATACAACCAGAGTATTACATAATATGTTATATATTTTTGCTCAATCGCTGTGACTCTGTATCCAATCGATTCACTTAACTCTTATGTGTTTTTTCTCTCTCTCGATGTCACAAAACTCAAAGACATATCCATTTGAGTCCACGAAATAAATATTTACTGACTTTTCTATTATGTAATTCGCATTCATCCTCCGCACGACTGTTATATACCTTTTATTTAGTTGCCTCTCGTTTTTTTCGTTATACCTATTATTTCCTTTTAATTTTCATTTTGCTTCTCTCTCAACAAGAATATTCTGTGATTTTTATAGCCATATACTGTATGATACGATAGCATAATATGCCTATTAGTCGTCAAGCGAGTGATGATGAATGCAATCAAAACGCTCATAATTCCGATGTTGTCCACAAATGTTCACACGTTGAGGTCGCCATTGGTGTGTCCGGCCAACTGTCCACTGAAATGTCCACCGAGTTGTCCACTGATACGTCCACTCAGGTGTCCACCGATGCGAACAAATATGACGAACAATGCCTTCCCATCGAAGAATACGGTATTATATATACATATTCTGTACTAATTATATACAAATTCTTACCTATATATATAGACACTAAGTTTTATCACAACTATTATTAACTCAAATCTGGACACAAATCTATACCCCTTTCCCTCTCACCCCAGAACCTGAAGACAATAACAACGTAAACCCAAACCCGAAAGTAGTGAAACAACTGAAGGGTTTGGCGGAAGCGTTCGCCAAACGGGGCGAACACGTGAAGCGCCGGATCAGTCAACCCGTCCAGACGTCGAGCCCCGAAGACTCGACCGGCAGTTTCAAGGGGTCGGCCGTATTCGAGGAGGAATGGATGCAAACGTTGGACATCACCCGCGCCGCCCAATTGAAGAAGTCGGCGCTCAAGGAGTTCTGGCACCGGTTACGGCGCCGGGAGTTGGGCGTGTTCGAGCCCCAGAGCTCCATATATATTAGCTGGCTGTTTGTGGTGAGCGTGGCCTTTGGCTACAACGCGGTCATCATATTCTT